AAAGGAAGACAGAAAATTAAGAGAGTGCAATGAGTAAGAAAAGGTGAAAGAAGAAGAACCCCAGCCCATGCATTCTGTACCCAGCTGTAACTAGCAATCATACCGTGCAAACATGCTCTAGAGCTGTGCTTATATTTCATTTATCTCCATGAAATGTTCTGTTCACTTTAATCAGGTGTCACATGCTTTAAATCCATCTGTTGTGCATCTAATAAAGCCAAGAGGTGATCTTCTGATCCCTGAACAACTGCCCATTAATACAAAGTTTGTCAACTTCTACTGTAGCTCTGACGCCTTCACTAATATATTTCTTCCTGATTGGGAATAAGACTCGCCTGCGATCCAATATTTCCTTTAGATTCTGGTCATTAACACTGAAATCTGTTCCTCTGAGCTCTCTGCCCTGACTCCTGACCTGCTCTTTTTGCTTGTAATGCTCAAACTTATCTACAATTAGTCTAGGACGGGATTTATCAGGCTTCTTACCTCCGAGCCGGTGAACGAGATGGAAGGTAATGTTTTTTAACTGTTCCACCGGGATTTTTAGCTTCTTCTGGAGGAACCCACGAACTGTCACCTTAGGGTCTTTTTCTTGCTGCTCAGCGATTCCTGCGAAGACGAGATTGTCTCTCATGCTCCGCGACTGAATGTCCAGAATGGATTCCTTGATCTTTTTATTTTCGGCGGACAGCTGGATCATCCCCTCGGTGAGTTTGGTGACTTCCCCCTTCAGTGCTACGTTTTCAGCAGTGACGGAGGCCAGCTGAGCTTGGCTGAATTCCAACGACTCTCTCAGAGCTTGAAACTCCTTATGCAGGACTTCTAACAGGGCGAGGCGGGCGTCCAAGCTGGTTAGCTTTTTGTCGATGGTTTCCAGGATGTCGCTGTAGCTCCTGTCTGGAGACAAAGTAGAGGTAGAAGCAGCACTGGTTGAACTAGACCGACATCGTTTCGTAGAAGGTGTGTTTGTGGATGCGGGATTCCTTGGCTTCCCCATTACGATGTTGTCAAAACACTTGTCCAGGTAGCTCTCCAGGTCTCATCTTCCAGTTTGTTCCCTCGGAAATACGGTACAATTGTCAAAGTTTAAGACTGCTTTGTTTTATTTACATTTCTTGGCTTACTTACCTGAGTGGAATTGTTTGTTTTTGAATTACCTGTATGTCGCCATATTACTTACGCACACAGCTCTCGCAAGATCTCAGCTGCACATCCTCTTGTTCTCCTCACAGCTAAGAAAACCCCTCACTGCAAAGTGTTTTACCTCTCAGCTATTTGCTAATTTCGGTTGAAACGGTAGGCATTTCAGCATCACATGATTTATGACTTTCAAGAAAACACCGTAGGTATTGATATTGTAAGGTACGTTGTTAGATGTAAAATCTGCAAAAATATTTGCAAATAGCTGGTGAATGTTCTCAGTCATCCAGGCCCAGTGTTGTTTTTGACAACCATCTTAGATTTAGTCTTAGTCCTAATCTTCAGAACGAAAACTATTATTAGTTTTAGTCGCATTTTAGTCATTACAATATTTGAAAATTATATAAATTTTTATATAAATATGTAAAAAGTTATCCTTTACAATTTGGAATGACAACCAGATTATTTACCAGACTGACAGCTCTAGCCTAGATACTACAATAGCTGGGTATAGAATGGTGCCATTTAGTTCATCATTGCTGTTGGCAGAAAACATTGATTTATAGAATTTAAATAATGTTTTATGAATTAATGGCCTACTCTAAAAAAAAAAAAGTCTCACAAATGTTGTGAAAATAGTAGATCTAGATCAACACATCCTATTGGTTAAAATAGCAGACAGAGAAGCTAACAAAATGTACAATAAAGGAATGGTTTTAGACATGCAAGGTTTCCATCCCAAAGCAAACACTTCCTGATCTATTATGAATTATGCATTACACACAGATCAATAAAATCTTCATTGCTCAAAAAATGCAAAGAAAAAAAAAAACATTCTCCTTTCTACTTTGGCAATTTTGGCTTTATTTCTGAAAATTTGCCCCTTAGTTACAGCTATTCAGGGGCAAGGCGAACCTCGGGATCCACAGGGCAGAAACAGGTCACAACCAGGAAATACAGAACAGACTTCACAAAGCTAGAGTTAAGTCTCACCAAAACGCTCAAATAACCTGGCACTGATGGAAGGCAAGCACGCAACATAAATAGCAGAGGAACCAGGTGGAAAGCATCGGCGTTAGCCGCAGAACCAATTAGACAGGGGAGCGACAAGCAAAGGAAAAAACCGAACCATCAGCGGCAAGATCATGACACTTCTGAGTTGGAAGAAATAAAGTATTGATAGTAAAGGGATATTTTACGCTTGGCAGAGGACGATCAGCCACATAATTTATTAAGCAGCTATGGAAGAGCCATAGTGCTGAGAGCGAACCATTACAGTGGAGCGTGAAGCACAGACTCTGGACTGCCGGACCATTATTTTCTCAGACTCTGTCACTGCTGCCAGGATCCATCTGTGCTCCTGCAGACTGTGTAGCGCTGCACTAGTGCTAATTTTACCAGCCATTTTTAAATTTAGTTTCAGTTTTAGTCCAGTTTCAGCATCGCTTGTTAGTTTTTATCACATTTAGTCGACATCATCCTATTTTTATTTTGTCTAATTTTAGTCGACTATAAGTCGAGCATTTTAGTCTTTATTTTAGTCCAAGAAAACAATTTTATTCGTATAGTTTTAGTCAAGAAAAACTGTCAACATTTTATTCTAGTTTTAGTCAGGACATCATTTTAACCTTTTACTTTTTTGTCAGCAGATAATATTTAACATTTACTAAAATGATTTCACATTTCAACATTTTATCTAATCTTTTTGATAAAAAACATAATTTTAAGGAACACATGCAGACATGGAAGGTGTTCTGACAATATTTGCATATTTATTTTGAACATTGTTAAGGTTCAAAGACACAAACACAAATGCTTGCATTAAAACAAATAAAAAACACCTGACAAAGTAAACAGATAAATAAAATAAAGTGTCTTATGAACTTAACACAAGTGCTGGCTGTTTAAAGCTAGTTCACATAGAATAATAAAATAAATAGATTTGAGGTCAATGTTGTGGGGAAAAAAAACTCCAACTGATACAACAAAAGTGCTTTCCTACAAGCTAGTTCACATGGTATATAAACCATAAGGTTTAGCTTGCTAGTCCTGAGAGTCAGCTTTGTATTTGGTGTGGGCAATAAAGGAAGCTTGTATAGCTGGCCTGTCATTGTTTCTGGGTGGCTGGTAGGTTGTTGTTGGTGGTGTATCTTCAATCTGGAACAGAAATTAATAAAATGTCAGGATAGATGCACAGCATAACAGGAATTCCAAGTGTATAAGTAACATATAGGTCTGTTTTTTTCCTTAACAAAAACTAAGTCTCTGTAAAAACTACATTTGACAATCCATTTCAAACTCATACAAACAACCTAACTATCATTTTATGCAGGAATAAATTGCAGACATTTTTATGTATGCATGCATTTTGGTTGTATTAATATTGATGCCAATTCAAATCAAATGTCCCTGTAATAGTAATATGCAGATAAACAGAGCAGCATTTTATGTCACCAAATAAAGACATTGGGAGTTTGCGTCCCAATCCCTGCAGTGGTTCCCCTAGCAATGGCTATTTTGTATATGAAAATCTGGGTTAAAGTTGTTCTGAATTATGTGTGGCGTATTATTTTTATTTTGTCTTATCCTGATAAATAGTTTCAGTTCGTTTTAGCATTTAGCATACACGTGTAGCTGCCGAGGTGTTTTGTGTTAACTATAGTTCACTTGCAGCTCCTAGATTACATAAAGCGTCTGTCTGCTTTAATCAAACTTGCAATTTAACTGAAACTATAGTTGCCCGGCCAGTATAACATATCTAAGTTAGCACAAATTTAACTTCACATACAATTCTATCAACAAGTGGCTACGGTCGCTACGTGCTACGAAGCTAGCGTAACATAGCCAGCTTGGATACTAAATGCTATGAAAGTTAGCCAACATTAGTAAGTTTATCATTGGGACGTTATAGCCGTTGATTTAATGTTACATTACAAACAACCACCACCAAATATTTCTGTTAACTTACCGTAATGTCTTTCTGGTGAACTGCGACGGTTCTCTTCAGGTTTGTTGTGTTTTGTCCGGATACCATGTGGCCACATTCCTTCCCTTCGACTAAAATCAAGCATTTGGTTTTGTTCTCCACTTCAATGAAGCGAAAATGTGTCCATATATCACATCTCCTCTTTCTCCCGAGCCCCGTGCAAAGCATGTTTTACTTTTAACCTGTCGCCGCCTCACATTGAATCCAGCTCCAGTCTGCTCCATGTGTTGTGTAGGCTACTCTGTGCCGCCCGCTCCAGGTTTGAAAGTGGGTGTGTGGCGGAAGAGCTGACGAGGAGGAGGCGGAGACAGGATTCGACATAACCATATCATATAATAATATGTAATTTTCGTCTCGTCTTTGTTTGTGAACTAAAATGTCCATAGATTTTAGCCTAGTCTTTATTTACCGAACTGGATTTTCGTCTCGTCTTTATTAGTCTACGAAAATTATTTCTGATTTACTCCCAGTTATTGTTTAATATTAGGGATCTTAGTCTCGTCTCGTCTAGTTTTAGTTCAGTGAAAAATGTGCGTTGATGAAAATATTTGTTTAGTTTTCGTTAATGAAATTAACACTACGCTGCACGGCAGTTGGGGGGGCAGGATTAATGAAGACACAGCAGCACGGCTTATATTGCTTAGCTGATTACAGCACGATGATGCAGTATAAACATCTCACCGACGACCTCCTACTTTTTTATTTAGTCTCGTCTCGTTGACTAAAACTGAAACCTATGACTAGTCATGTTTTACTCATCAAAGATCCATGTTTAGCTCGTCGGTTCTTCATTATTGTAAGGAAAAAAAGGAGCGTCAACGAAATGAT